CTGACGACCAACAACACAATGCCATACTGGACCATAGATGGAATCGAATTCCTTCTTAATGTAGGCGGCAATCTCTTTTGTCGCGGTGAATCGCGTCATAGCGTCGCGAGCGCAGTCCAACGACCTCTGCTGCATGTCTGCCGACATGTCCGCGTTCCTGATTGCCATCCCAGCATCAAACATTGCACTCCTAAAAAAGCATTGCCCCTCAAGACGACTTTATTTTACCCTCTAGTGGAGGTAAATCAGTGCAGTTTTATAGCCGTGGGATTTGGTAAGGAGAGGTGAGGCTTCAGTAGCCTGTCCTCAAGCCCTGTGCCTATGTGAAAAATTCGCTGCCCCATTTTTTTTCCCCTTCCTACTTATTTACGAAGCCCTTATTTACGCGTGTTGATTCAAGTGGGTAAAGCTGAGCTGGTAATTTAATTCTAACTCGTAAATTTTTTTCTGTTTATACTACAAAGGGACCATCACAGCACAGGATTCATTGAGTCAGATTGGAGAAAAAGAAAATCAGTCGTCTTAGTTCTTCAAAAGCACTGATTTATCTACTTATTGTCGGTAAATTTATTTGGGAGGTCGTGGATGACTGTCAGTGGATTTTAGGGTCAGTGATTAGGTCGAAACACACAGCCTTCAATTTTACACAGCCTGATAGCCTCTTAAGAAATTTTTTTATGGTGCATGGCCGGTCCACTGGTAGGGAGTTTAATCAAACACTTTGTCAACGCGGAGTCAAACTGGCAAGATGACAGGGCAAAGTGGCACCGATTTAGCGTTCAGACACATCTGTTCCACCTCAGCAGTATCCATGTGTATAGGCGATTGCACATCTTTCCCCATACCCAAGTATGACATCGACTTTTATGTCTGGAATCATATTCGATCAAAAGTCACGTAATTATGCGAAGAAAGTCTGCACATAAAGTTAAATAAGTAGTATCAAAGAATAACCTGTCGGTCGTATAAGAAATTACGCTTCGGAGAAATCACACTTAAGATGGAAAGTGATATTTGCAAACCCATTCTGGACTTTTGAGGATTGCGTCGACCCTGTCTTTCAAATCAGCTCTTCAGGCACACGTGGCCGTGCTGCTGAAGAGCAAAGCGGTTTGGGCGTTGGCAGGGTAGGAATGCCAACGAGTCCCACACTCGGGTACCGAACCCCTCGCTAAAATCGTTGAGGCGCCTGTTGCCATCACACTTGGGGCTTCGCTACTGCAGCATTACCACGACTAACTGCGAAATTTTCCCGCCTTTAGACATAGCAGAATTTCTAATACATGAGCAGCCACAAAGTATGATTTGGAGATTGACCCGAAATATCACAATCCAGCATTCGCGAAGTTGTGAGAAAATACGTGCCATTTCACCCGCCTGACCCAATTTTTCCGCCAAAGCACCCAAACACGATCTTTCGCAAATGCGCACACGTGCGAAGAGCCCGTAAAAGCGCCTACTGTGCATCGTGATAAATTATTCCATATCTAAATCGCAAACGATAAGTCGGGAATACGCGGAGGAAACCACTCTAGCACATTAAAAACAAACGACCTTCCACGCCAGACATCGACCTCGTTAAATGAGCTTCGTGGTGAGCTACGAGCGGACAAGACAGCACCGCGTAGAGGCGACGAGTCCACACTTTAACCACAGTTAATATGTTCGTTAGTCAAGAGTAGCCTTGCTGAAAAACCGCATACACCACACAGCGGTCCGTACTCATTAAATTCAACGTATGCAATCCATTTTCACCCAACCCATACACCAAAGTACCATCAATCATTACACCAGTGAGCCACGACTTTCAACGCAATCCGATGTGATCGACTGCATGAGTTCAAGGTGATTCTCCTGAAACCCACAAGCACATTTCCCAAACCTCAGAGACCCGACCCAAACCCGATGTGACACCAATCATTGCTTTCAAGTGCAAGGCCCAATTGGGATAAAGGCGTTATTCGTTTAAACAAAGTTGAAACAAACACGGTTTTAAATATTACCTATTTCGCATTATTAATTGGTTAAAAGCCTGATTTTAAACAGTGAG